GGTTCCTCCAGACATCGAAAGTAGATCACTTTATATCGCTTCAAGACAAGATAAGATGAAATCTTATGTTGACAAGAGGAGAAATGCCAGAGAAACGAATCTGAAAGTTGGTGATTACGTCAGAACAAAAAGACCGGTACAACGACAAAAACTTCAGTCAACATTGTCTAATCCGAAATCTATTACTCAACGCCTAGGAAAGTCATCGTTTCGTTTAAGTGATGGTAGCTGTTGGAACGCAAGAAGATGTATACGCGCTTACCAAAACCACGATCACGAAGAAAATGATCAATATCCATTTTACCATAATTTCGATAATGTGCTACCAAATGACAATGTTCCTCCTGACATTCCAAATCAGAACAATCGGCGAAATCGTAATCGAGTAGTTCCAGTTCGTAATCATCCACAAAGAATTCGGCATAGACCTGCCTATTTGAACGATTATGTTTAATTGAGTGTTTACAGTAATGCATGCTATTTCATAGGATTTTAAATCGTTCACAGACAGTGACGTTAATTGTTTAGTTTCTCTGAGGTTTCTTTGTGTTTATTGATAGTGTTTAATCATATATGTGCTTAACTAAAAGGGGGGAAAATATGTTGTGTCTAGGTTCGAACGTATGTGACGCCGAAACAGTATGTACGCTTCTGGTTGCTTGCTTTGCACGAGGTCACATGACGTCATTCACTTTGTAGTAGGTCGGCGGGCTGACCGCCATTGTTGTAAGAATTTCATGTATAATAAATTTAAGTTTTAATCAACTATGCATCTTTATGGCCATCGCAAACACAACAAATTTGAATTTGATTCTTTTGGCTGAATGGTTTAAAGAAGATTAAGATGCAGTTTTTTCACCATTTCATTTTCAGCAATGTATATCACTTTTCATAATTTGTTCTAATGTCTGGCTTGTCTACAGAAAATTGTGCAAATTGGAAAAGCAATTTCAACATTCTTGGTCAAAATGATTAACTCTGTGCCAATGCTCTTCCTCGATCTTCAATGGAAAGTACACAAACTTGATCTTTATTTTTTCATCAGTTGGTCTATATACATTTCTTGTTATATATGTTTTTGGTCCTGAGCATGCATCAAGAACATGAGATGAGATCTTGTCAATTAAAGTTTAAAACTCTTTTCTCTTTCATTGTATTCAAACTTTTCTCATAAAAATGTCAGAACAGGGTCACATGTGGTTAGTTGTAACATGTGCTAATTGGAGAAAATAAGAGACAAACCACCCTCCACCCACTTCTAGGGTAAAAAATATTATTGGAGGATCAAGTTTATCTATCAACAAACAATCTTGGTTATCAACTCAGTCAATTTTCTCCTCATTATACAGTAAGATATACTTTAACTTAGACACAATATATATATCTATTACAACAGTTTCTGGAAATATGCTATAGACATATTCTATATAAACTTTTTGGGTAGAAACAATCTGGTGTACAGTTAAGCCCCCATTGAAAATTAAAATGTTTTTCAATTATCCCAAAAATCTCTACAATGTAGATAAAAGGCTGCATCTTTTTTGTCGTGTCATATGTTTGATTGAAATCCTTTTGCAGACAAGACATATCTGTGACACTGACTGAAGGCATTGATTCTTA